CTCTCCTCCTTTGCTTCCCAGCCAGATTTCCCCAGAGTTCTCTGCGGTCTCAGTTCCCATTCCTCACACTTCATTGGCTTTTCAGACTGTCCTCATTAGTGTATCTCCACTTCTTTCCTGTCTGCTTTTTTGTTTTTCCTGGAACTTACTCTGTAGACCAGGCTGGCCTTAAACTCAAAGAGATCCATCTGCCTCTGCCTCTCAGGTGCTGGGATTAAAGGCATGTGCCACCACCACCTGGCCTCTCCACTTCTTTATATATACATGCATACATACATATATACAGATATACACATGTCTAATTCTTTTTTTCTTTTTTTTTTCTCTTTAGACAGGGTTTCTCTGTATAACAGTCCTGGCTGTCCTTGAACTCAGAGATCTGCTTGCCTCTGCCTCCAGAGTGCTGGGATTAAAGGAGTACACCATCACCCCAGGCTCTCCACTGCTTTATAGGTATCACAGGTGGTGTCTATCCAGTTCCGTCTGCTCCTGCCTAGCCTCACCTGTCATTTGGCAGATCACCTCTTTCCACACTGGGCTCCTGTGACCACTCTAGTTTTCTTTCTGCCTCACCATTGGCCAGTGCTGTTTTTTCTACACAGCCCTCAGGGCAGATCCCCCTACACCCCTTTTCTCCTACCTACATTCTCAGTCAGCACCACTGTCTTCAGAATCCAGTTCTCCAGCCCTACTGTCACCCCTGGCCTCTGGGTTCACTTCCAGTGATGACTTCCTGTCTCCATATGGACGCAGAGTGCCCATCAGGTTGCTCATGTGATTTTTCTCGTCAATGAAGTGCTGGGGACATAACATAATCACTACACTCTTCTCTTTCCCATATAAAAGTATGATCAGTAATATCCCCCACACAGGCTACTCCATCAGCCTGCATCCAGGATGGGAAATGGCATCGAGGAGAGGTACAGGTCAACCATGAGGGACAGGTGGTGGGAAAGGAATGTGTATACCATCTGGAGCAATTGAGACTGGGTGGAGAGTGGTGTTACCGCAGCATAACCAGCTTGGCCTGACTACTGTATGTACTCCATAGCGTTTCCAGTCCCAGGCAGCAGAGAAATCACTCTAAAGTGTATGCATGAAGATTGGCCCAGCACAGGTAGCAGGAAGGTCTACCTCCACGACAGGAAAACACCTCATTGGAAATACAGCAGGGTCCCTGCTCACATGGGGGCAGATTCCAGTCAGCTCCCACGTTTACCCATAAATTGCCCAGAAAATAAACAGAAACAGAAATAACAGTATGGTCACTGCTCAAGTCCAACACAAGCCATTTCCTCCAGCTGGTACAGACGGCTTTCCTTTGGTTGAATACGGGGAAAAGTAACTGGTTTAAGGAACCTTTTAGAAGGAAAGAGTTGAGGGTGGGCATGGGGGACAGTCTCACTGCATAGTCCAGGCTGGCCTCCTGAACTCAGTGATCTCTCTGCCTCAGCCTCCTGACTACTGGACTTACAAGCATGCCCCACTAGTCTTGGAAACTTCCTACCACTGCATCTTGGAATTGGTTATAACAGCTAGGGTTGTTTTTTGTTTGTTTAGTTGGGTTTTTTTTCAAAGAAAAAAAATCAGCCAGTTGATGGTGGGACACACCTCTAATTCCAGCACTTGGGAGGCAGAGGCAGGTGGATCTCTATGAGTTCAAGGTCAGTGAGTTCCAGGGCAGCCGGGACCACACAGTAAGACCCTGTCTCCAAAACCCAAAAATAAATAAATAAGTAAAAATTAAAATAAAAAAAAATCGTTGTTTTTTGAGACAGGGTCTCTTTATGTAGCTTTGGCTGTTCTGGAATTCACTCGATAGACCAGGCTGGCCTCGAACTCACAGAGATGCTCCCACCTCTGCCTCCTGAGCTCTAGGACTAAGGGTGTGCATCACCATATCCGGCTAAAAAACAAAGAAAAACCCAAACCAAACCAAACCCCACCTTTTGTTTATGGACACGTGTGTGCCTGTGCATGTTGAGTGTGGGTACCCGTGAGGCACTGGGTTCCCTGGAGCTGGAGTTCGGGGTGGTTGTGAGGCTGCATGGTTTGGGTACCAGGACTAGAACACTGATCCTCTGTGAGAGCAGCAAGGACTTCTAACTGCTAAGCCATCTCTCTTGCACCCAGGGTCATTTTTAACTGCATCGTGAAATGGAGGAGACGTGAGAGCACCCAAAGAACAGCAGACTGGGCATACCCATCTCCTGCCCTCTCCAAGACACAGCCATTGCATGGAATGAACCACAATACTTACATGAGGTTATTCATTCAGCGTGAATGAACATAGTTAATTTCTAGGGAATTATTATAATCATCCTTCTGTACCTATGGAGGGTTGGTTCTAGGACACACAACCCAACATGGAACTCAAGATTTGTGTCCACCCATAAGAAAACGGTGTAGTATTTACACATAACCCTACACAATGCTCCCACATACTTCAGATCATCCCCACATTCCTATAATGTCTAACACCACGTCGATGCTATGGAGCTAGTTGGTATACCGTATCATTAGAAAATAATAACAAGCTGGGCAATGGTGGTGCATGCCTTTAATCCCAGCACTCAGGAGGCAGAGCCAGGCGGATCTCTCTGAGTTCGAGGCCAGCCTGGTCTACAGAGCAAAATTCAGGACAGGCACCAAAACAATACAGAGAAACCCTGTCGCGAAAAAAACAAAAAACAAAACCAAACAAACAAAAAAAAGAAAATAACAAAAATGTCTGTACACATCCAGTAGACATGCAATTTCTTTCCCAAATATTTTTCATTCAAAGTTGGTCAAAACCCTAGGGAATCCCTCAAGATAAGGCTGACTAAACTGCATATATGTGACTCCACTCTATTCCCTACATCAAGTACAGACTCCAGGACCAAATTCCAGACTTCCCCACCCCCCACCTCCAGATCAAGAGCCTCTAGGTCCTAGGCTGTAAATGCAGGCCCTGTGCCCTGCAGGTTCTTCCAGAGTTCAGTCCAACCACTGAATGGAAGACTAAAAGTCCCACGCTGACTCGAGGCTCAACCTCATGGGACACAGGCCCTTCTGTGCAGTTAGCCCTTTCAGGCTTCAGGCCTCAGGTGCAACATTCTGCTACCAGGCATTCACACCCATTCTCCTTGTGAAGATTGTATATAGCTGTACTCCATATCGAGTGAGGCCGCCGGTATCATATATGGTTACAGACAGAGCCCTAGAGTCAGGCAGGGCTGTAGGAGCAGGGACAGCAGAGGGCTCCTCTGATGAATTTTCAGAAGATCCATCTGGTGGGAGCAATGGCTACTTCCAGGCAAGTCTTTAGGAGACCACCTCACCCAATCTCCCACCTCCACCAGAGCAGGCCTGATGGGGTCTCTGGACCACATGAAATGTGATCAGATTTGTGTGGGTCAACATTCTCCTAAAGCACCAACATCTCAGCCCTTCCATGCACATTCTGCATACCCCCAAAAAGAGGTGAGAAGAGCCACCAGCATCGGTACTCAGTCATGGCAGGATCGGGTCACATCAGGAATGGAGGGCATTCCATATTTTAGAAGCCTGCTGACATGAAACAGCCAAAGAGGGCAGGCTTTGGAGGCAAACTGCCCCCCCCCCCCCCCCCCCCCCCCCCCCGAGGATCAACAGTAGCTGTCTCACATTCAGACGAAACAGTGTGTGGAAACAGCACTTCAAGGTGGTAGCCCATACCCAAAGTGAATTTCCATAAGGAAATAAATAAAAAGGCCTAATGTCCTCCTGAGCTCCTCAGGCTGCTCAGCTGGCTGCTGGTGCCTCAACTCTCCTACATCCCAGCACTTAGTGTTCCAGACACATGGATCAAGATCTATTTCAATCTCTCTTAATTGCCCGGGTGCTCTATGGACCCCTGCCTCTGTGGGTTGTTTGTTCTGCCAAGAGCAATAACTCTTCCCTCCTGTCCTCACCAGCTATCGACTTAAAATGTCAACATCCCATCCGACTGGATGTAGTGGCACACGCCCAACATCTAAAAATCTGAGGCCAGGAAGATTTTGAATTTGAGGCCAGCCTGGCTATAGTAGGACCCTGTCTCCAAAAACTCCAAAATTGCACCTGAATGTCAGCTTTCCCAAATACAAGTTGGGTAAAACAGCCAAGCTATTAGGAGGTTGGTACAAGTGATGCCTGCCAACAACCCCAGCGTGGGGTCTCACACGGCACGCCCAATACACGTCAAAACGAAGTGTGCTGGGTTTACTGGCACCTGCTTATAGTAATCTTAGCATGTGGGAGGTGGAGGCAGGACGACCAGGAGTTCAAGGTCATCCCCAGCTTCCTAGAGCAGTTGGGACCAATCTGGGCTATATGAGACTCTGTCTCAAAAATCCAAAACAAAGAAATCTGGTGCCAGGAAGTGACATGCACCCACAGTCCCAGTGACTGAGGTTGGAGACTCATTTGAAGCTAGGAATTTCGCCAAAGCCAACCACAGTAATATAGCGATACTGTTTCAAAAACTAAAACTTCAGTGGGAATGGTGGCACATCCCAGCACTCAGGAGGCAGAAGCAAAAGAATTAGGAACTCAAGGCCAGTGTGGGCTAACACACACACACACACACACACACACACACACACACACACACACGTATATATATGACATACATCTCAAAACAAAAGCCTTGGTGCTGAGAGATGGCTCAGTAGTTAAGAGCATTAGCTGCTTTTCCAAGAGACGCAGGTTCAATTCCCAGCACCCACATGGCAGCTCTTCTCTTCTCTGTCTGTAGTTTCAGTTTCAGGGGGCCCAAAACAGACATGCAGGCAAAACACCACTGTACATAAAATAAATCATTCTCAAAAAAAAAAAAAAGCCAAAACGAAAACTAAACAAAAACCCTTAGGCTGGCATGTAACAGTGTAAACCCAAAACCCAGAGGCCAAAGCAAGACCAGGAGTTCCAGGAAGCACGATGGGGTGTGGGGGAATGTATGCTTTAAGTGGCCTAAGGACCATGCTCTGAGAACACCATTCATCTTTCCATGAGTATTTATTAAGCAGCGACCACATGCCAGGCTAGTTTTCACTCTGGGCAGACATCAGAAAGACATAGTCTGCTCTCATGAAGTTTACATTCTCGTGAGGGTAGAAAATATCAAGGATACAATGGAAGTGACCAGCCAGGGGCATAAAGCAAGTGGACAGAGACAGTGCTTGTGAACCTGAGGAGCCGGCAGTCTAAGGTCACTGGAATGACAGGGAGGAGCCAGCCACCTTCTTTGGGAAAAGCATCCAGGTGGATCTTTTATACCCAGTTCCTTTTAACCCGAGGCCCTCATCTAAGACCGTCTCAAAGCAAACAAGTCCGAAAAGAGTGAAGGTCCCCCCTTTATCATGGAGGCTTCCAAAGCAAGAGGACAGGATAGAGGAGTTTGCCTCAGGGAAGGATCTAGCTGGCTCCTGGCCCCTTCCCTCCTGGGCCTGATACCCCAGGCTTCCTTGGCCCAACGGCATCAGTCTGATTCTTCTGCCTTTTGGGAAACCTGGGAGCCATACATCTCCCACCCGCACATGTCCCCCAAATCTCGGGCCAGGCCAGACCCCAAGGCTGAGCCAGCAGGATATGTGGCAACACCCAATCCTCAGACAGGCCTCCTGGAGCACCAGCTGGATGGGGGGGGGGGCCTCCTGGAGCACCAGCTGGATGGGGGGGGCCTCCTGGAGCACCAGCTGGATGGGTGGAGCCTCCTGGAGCACCAGCTGGATGGGGGGGGCCTCCTGGAACATCAGCTGGATGGGTGGGGCCTCCTGGAGCACCAGCTGGATGGGGGGCCTCCTGGGCACTCTTCCTGCTTTGCAGTACCAGGTCCTTGGGGTCACAGGCATGGGTCTGGTCCTCAGCGTTAAAGACAGTGACAACACCACACAGAGGCTGACCCCCATCCCAGCAGGTTAGAGAACACATAAGACATGACACAAGGACCTCTTAGGAGGAGGAGAGGAGCCATGAGGCACAGTAGATGCCCAGGGCAGGTGGGCAGCTGGGGGCGGGCGAGGATCATTTCTTCTTGGCACGGTCTGCCGCATCCAGAGCAGCCATGTTTCGCGCAGCTGTGATGAGGTGGATGACACTAATGACGGACTTGAGCAGGGCGATGGGAGCTGTGATCCAGAGGCCCATTCGGAAGAGCCCCACAGAGCCCACTACGGGGAGGCAGAGAGAGAGAATGGTAGGAGGCGACGGAGGGGTGCGAGATTGAGGCCTCTCCTTCCCCAGGCAGGGCAGGGTGGAACCCCACCCCCACCCCCTTTTCCTACCTAGTGGTCCCTCGGAGAAATTGAACAGGTACAGGAGGCAGTAGAAGAGTTCATTTCCAGCACACAGGGTGAACAGGGCAGGCTGCACAAAATAAAGGCTGCCTAAGATGTAGGGCCATGTCCCGACCGTAACCCACAGGGACTTGGGCCACAGACAGGAGAGGGCCTCTCAGCCAGCTACATACTGCACCCCACTGCATGCTTCTTTAGCCTCTGTCTGTCTCTGTCTCAGAGCCTCATTCTTACTGCTGCCAGGAGGATTCACACAGACCTCCTGCCAATTCTCCTTCCCCAGGCCTCAGCCCAAGGACCACTCCTGCTTCGATGGTTGGGGCAGACATTCTCTCCTGACCAGGGTCCAGCCCAAGACTTCCCATTCTCGGATCAAGTAAGGGAGGGGCAAGAAGGGCTCACCCTAGAAGTATAGTAGATCCGAAGCACGGGGTTCCCAGAGAGGTCGATCATCTTGTGGCTCTCACTGCCCCTTACCACGGAACTTGGGGAGAAATTCAAAAGACTTCATGAGCTTTGACTGCCACCATACCCACCCAATCATCTCACCAACTGGCACTGGCAACTGGCATTGCCTCCACTGCACGGAGGAGCTGGTGTGAAGCTGAAAACTGCACCTTGTTCAAAGCCTCAGAATTCCCTAGGTGGGGGCAGTCAGGATTAAATGCCCCACCATAAAGCACTCATGCGTCTCCTGGCATTTGGAATCCAAAAATATCCAGCCAGGCCCATGAGAGAAATTGCTTGAGCCACCTTTAAAAATGACAAGCCCACTCACAGACACGGCACTCACCCAGGGACTTTAACAAAGCAAAATTTAAAAAGAGGCCTCAGCTAAGGCTAGGGGCGTGCTGGCCTAGAATTCCAGCACCCAGGAGGCTGAGGTGGGAAGACTGTCGTGAATTTGAGGCCCACCTGGGCGCACACTACATTCGAAGTAAGTCTTGGGCTGCTGTCTCAAGGGGGAAAGGAAAAGGAAGACGCCTCCCAGGGAGCCTGAAGTCATCCCAGCCCCACTCCCACTGAAATGTCTTCCACTCATCAGCAGCTCCAGCATCAAGGCAGACCTGTGCAGATGCAGCCAGTGACTGGCCACGTCCAGGCTCATGCTGAGCTGGAAGAGCAGAGTGGCTCTAGGGTACAGCAGGGCCAGGTTGACCAAGAGACACATGGTGGAACAGCGGTCTGTCAGCATGTCGAGCATGGCCCCAAACCGGGTGCCTGAAAAATAATGAAGTTGAAAAACATCAAGGTGGAAGGGACTGTGTGGTACAGTAGATGACAGGGACCACATCTGGCCTATCACTCGGGGCCGAGTATGAATGGAGTTTGAAAATGTCTACCATCGACTGTTCGAGAAGGAAAGCAGGCTGCTGTCAATAGACGGTGAGGTCAAAAGGACGAGGATTATGAGGACAAGAAATGAGACTGCATGGGGCTGTGGCAGGAAAGCAGTTGGAGGAGCAGAGCAGCTCTATCTTCAACTCCTCTAACCAAGAACCAAGACCCCAAAGAAAGGCAAGAGACCCCAAGTCTCAGGGGCAGTTTAAGAGGTGGATCTGGAGAATTCATTAATCAATTAGTCGGAGCTCCAAGCACCACCTGCTCCCTACCCACCACCCAACCCCAGCTCCAACCTCTCCTGGAATCCTTATTGTCTGTGACTAGCACATAGTAGCACCCTAATAAACACCTGTTGAATGGAATTTTATTTTCTTATTTATCTTTTATTTCATGGTATGTTTGTCTACATACACGTAGTACCTACAGAGACCAGAAGACAACATTGGATCCCCTAGAACTGGAGTTATAGGTGGCTGTAAGCCACCACATGGGTTCTGGAAACCAAATCTAGGTCCTGCACAAGAGCAGTAAACATACCTTTTGTTTGTTTTGAGACAGGGTTTCTCAGTGTAACAGACAGAACTGGAACTTGATTTGTAGACCAGGCTAGCCTTGAACTCACAGAGATCCACCTGCTTCTGCCTCCCGAGAGCTGGGATTAAAAGCATGCGCCACCACCGCCCAGCACAGTAAGCATTCTTAACTGATCCTCTGAGCCATCTCTCCAGCCCCAATGACTTTTTTTTTCCTTCTTCAGCTCTGGCTCACCTGGTTCTCAAAATGCAGCCTGGGAGGACTTTGGACTTGGAGCAATCTTTCTGTCTGCCTCTCCAGTGCTGGAATTACAAGCATGAGCCGCCACGCCCGCCCCAAAGGGAAATTTATCCAGAGAGAGACCTCTTCCATTCACATCACTATGTCCAGTTTAGGTCATACTGTTAGGTCCCACCCTTCATAAGCCGTGTACAGTCGTCAAGAGCAAGCTTAAATCTCAGGTTTAAATCCCCCCAAAATTCCTGTTTGGTGTTCTTACAGAGATGGGAATGAAAGAGCCATCTATCTCTGAGGTTCTGGAAAAGCAGGAAAAGGGCAGGGGGATGGATGTTGGGTCCCCAAGCGGTGGTAGTGGTGGTGGTAGAGCTCTGTCACCTTGATTAAGGGCTCGAGCTGCGTGTCCATCAAAGGCGTCTAGAAGTCCACTGAGTAGATAGAAGGAGGAGGCCGTGAAGGGACAGCAGGGCATGAAGTAGAAGGAAATGATGGCGAAGACAATCCGGGCGTAACCTTGGGATGGGAAGGGAGAGGGACAGGTTGTGATCGGGGAAAGGGCTCACGATCCCCTGCTCTCCGCTGGTGTTGGGGCCGCAGACAGCACTCACCGATAAGGTTAGGCACGAACAGGAAGATATTTTCCTCTGGCATCTTGGCGGCTCCCCTCGTCGCCCTGGCCCAGCTCTGGAGGTGCAAGGGCTTGTCCCAGTCTCACCAGCGCGGCCTCAGCTTTCAGTCCGGGACATCGGCCGCTCCACCAGAGCCCTGGGCCCAGTTCCCCCGCGCGACCCCAGCTGTTAGAGCCCGCAGGGCGCCAGGGCGCAGGGCACCCCTGGGCGCAGCTCACGCACACCTGGCCTTCCGATGGGCAGGAGCTGCCGTCTCCAGCAGAGGGCCCCGCTGCTGGCTGCGCCCGGCTCCCCTAAGCTCACTCTTCCGTCGGGGACGTTAACAACATCGGAGGAAGGAGAGAGCGGCTTTTAAATATAAATAAATAAATTAAATAAATAGTAGCTGAGGCCCCTTTAAGGCCGGCCCGCTTCCTTTTCCTGCCCGCACCCCTTGGCTTCGGCTCATACCAACGCACCGAGGGAGGGGAAGGAGCTGAGAGCCATCCGCAAAGGAGGGAACTGGAAAGGGAGAAGCCGAGGAGACCTGAAAGGGAACCTGTACTTGGCATGTTACAGAGGGCATAAACTCCTGGAGGCCAAGGTAAAGCGGTGAGAGTCCGACGTCCCGAGTCTGGGCCTCCCCGAGAGACGGGGTGACTTAGTACAGCCCACATCGCTTCCCCGCCCGCTACGTCTGCGGCCGCGATCGCTCCCCGACCCAGGCTGGGAAGAGGCGGCTAGAGAGGCTCGGGGCGCGCCTGCCGCTTGCTTCTAGCGCCGCCCTGGTGGTGGGAGGATTAGAGCCCAGGTTCCACCCTACGTCATCCCCCAAATGCCTCGAAATAACCCTGGGGTCACCACCTCTGAGGAGGAACCTGGAGAGCAACCGTGGCACGCTAGGAAAATGTCTTTAGTTCTAGAACCTCTAGTCTCCTAGCAACGGAACTATAGAACCTCCGCAAACATTTAGGTCTTTATAGCAACCCGGAGCAGCGCTTCCCTGGCTCTCCCTCTTTCCAACCTTCCTCCCCAACTCCAACTCCCTATCCCCATCATAGGGCCCCCTTAGACCTCTCCTTCTCCCCTCCCGCCGAGTAGCCCACGATTTCAACCCATCAGCCAGGTCGGGGGCTGCATGTTGGCTGCCTTCCCTTAGGAAGGGCCTTGGCAGAGAAGAAGGAAGAAGGGCATTGGAAGTCGGGGGAGTTATTCTGAGAGCTCCTTCCCTCAAAGTCATAGGCAAAACAACAAACTTTTTCAAGGGCCGGACTAAGAGAGTGGGGTGTTTTGAGCAGTAGCCGTGGACTAAATCTGGGCCCAGGGAATAGTTGAGATGGGATCTGGGAGGAAGTGGGCTGGTTTGTCAGTCTTAACACAAACTCTGTTTCTAGGGGATGGCATCCACATCTGCCAGGAATGGGGAGAAAAAGGACAGCTGGTCATCTCAAGCTGCAGCCTCCTTAGGTGGAGGGCAGGTGAGCAACGAAGGGGATGTGAAGGAGAAGGGAAGCAAGGCAGGAAGTCTGGTTCTGAGTCCTGTGCCTTTATCCTGAAGCTCCATAGACTGGGTTCCTTGTCCAGGTCCTTCTAGTCAACCTTCTAATCCCAGATTCCCCAGCCACAGAGCCTGCAGCCTGGAAGACACCAGACCAGTGGGAATTTGCAGGCTGAGTTCTAACTTCCTTTCCAGAAAGTCTCATTATCCCGTTCAGAAGAATTCCTGACCCGTATCAGCGCAGAACTTACAGATGAAGCCCTGTTTATTGCTCGCTCCCACGTGAACTCTGTGCCCATCAAGGAAAAGCAAATGAAAGACCAAGGGACTCAGATATCTAGACATGGTGAACTCTCCTTCTTCATCTAGGGACCAGTTCCTAACTCCCTTCCAGCTATAGCTGACCTCCCCAGGAATCTGCCCATTTTTCCCCTCCTCAGTGCCAGTCCTGGGCACAGTGCCCCTTACCCTCTCACGCACTCATTGTTGCTAGCCAGGAGCCCCCTCTCCCCATTCACTCTAGCCACAACTCTTTCTAACCATGGGGAAAGTCTCTAATTGGGGCCTCTATTTCCAGTGTTCTTCACCAAGACCCGTGGCACAGATACCCGGTGAGTGAGGCTCTGTCCTGGGAGAATCGGGGGAGAGCAGTGGTAGGGGAGTTTTGAACCATCTTGCAGTTTATGATTGTCAACCTTCTCTCTGTTCTTCTACCGTCTCCAGCTCTGACAGAAATCGCACCCGCACCAAGGCACACCTCCTGCCATCTCCTCGTGAAAAGGTTTGTATATGGTCATTCCGGTTCAGCATTTCCAGTGTCCCCTATGTGCCACTCCTTGTGTTAGGAGCTTGGGACACAGAATGCACAATATAGACTCAGCCTTTAAAGAATTCAAGGGTTGGTTTGTTGGTTTGAGATAGGGTCTCACTATGTAGCTTAGTTGGCCTGAAATTTACTATGTAGACCAGGCTGGCCTTAAACTCACAAAAATCCACTTGCTTCTGCCTCCTAAGTGCTAGGATAAAAGGCGTGATCTAGCCGGGCGGTGGTGGCGCACGCCTTTAATCCCAGCACTCGGGAGGCAGAGCCAGGAGGATCTCTATGAGTTCGAGGCCAGCCTGGACTACCAAGTGAGTTCCAGGAAAGGCGCAAAGCTACACAGAGAAACCCTGTCTCGAAAAATCCAAAAAAAAAAAAAAAAAAAGGCGTGATCCACCATTCCCAGCAAAATCCAGTTTAGAATGAGGCCAGGCCAACTTAGTGGCCGATGATAACATAGTATGGAATGGCGTCCACCTGGGAAAACAATAAGACTGCTTTTGCCTCATCCTCAGCTGGGCTGGGAAAGAAAGGCATCACGGACCTTCCTGAAGAAAGGAACACCTAAAGAAGGGATTTTCTAGGAAAGCAGCTCTGATATAAGTATTCTAAGCAGCAAGGATTGTATGACCCAAGGCACAGAGAGGTATCTTAATAAGTGAGATTGTGAGCAGCTTGTATGCTCTAGGGCTTGCCAGGCTTGGTGGCACACACCTTCGATCTCAGCACTCTGGAGGCAGAGAGGGTAATTCCTGTGAGTTCAAAGACAACTTGGTCTGCATAGTGAGTTCCAGGACAGCCAGGGCTACATGGAATGACCTTATTTCAAAATAAATAAACAAATTTAGGAATTTAGAAATTATACTTATGTAATACAATAGATAATAGAAATATACAATATATAATAGAAATTATATATGGGGAAACAAAAATTTAAAAGCAGACAAAAAAAAGAGGCTGGAGAGATATGGCTCAGCAGTTAAGAGCACTTGTTGATTTCCCAGAGGACCCAGGTTCTATTCCCAGCACCCATATGATGGCTCACTACTGTCTGAAACTCCAGTTCCTGGAGATCTGATGCCCTCTTCTGGTCTCCACAGGCACCAGGCACTCAAGTGGTACACAGACTACTCATACACGTAAAATAAAACTAAAAAAAAATTAAGTAGAGGCAGGTGGATCTCTGTGAGTTCCAGGCCAGCCTGGTCTACATAGTGAGTTCCAGGTCAGCCAGAGCTATATAGATCCTGTCTCAAAAAATAAGTAGCTAAATAATAAATAAAATTTTAAATTAAGCTGGATGGTGGTGGCGCATGCCTTTAATCCCAGCACTTGGGAAGCAGAGCCAGGCGGGTCTCTGTGAGTTCGAGGCCAGCCTGGGCTATCAAGTGAGTTCCAGGAAAGGCGCAAAGCTACGCAGAGAAACCCTGTCTTGAAAAACCAAAAAAAAAAAAAAATTAAATTAAAAAGCAGACAAATGTTAGCTGGGAAGTAGATGGATGAGTTGAAGGAGCAGTTGGCAAGTGGGTAAATGGGTGAATGGATATGTTGACTGAGCATGTGCTAAGCACTTACTGTATGGCGGGCAACACTGTTCTAGAGTGTAGCACTGAGCGAAATAAAGCCCCTGCTCTCAAGAAGTGGGAGATGAAGGAGATGAGTGGGCGGGAAGGCAGGTGAGTAATGAATGCGTGAGCAGGTGGATGGAGTTGAAGGATGGGGAAGGGATGATGGGTAGATCTGTAAGTGAATAGCCGGAAGGAGGATGTGGGTGGATATGTGCATGGAGAAATGGATGATGAGAGCAGTGGAGCAAGGCGGCTATATTCAAGGGTGGTATACAGCTTGGATGCTAGGTGAGGGAAGGATAAGACAGGGTCCCTAAGTGTAGAGTCAGCAGCTCTCACTGTCTTCCAGGGAGTGCTCCCCAACAGTCTGACAACTGGAGGATGAACTCTAACCTCCCTAGTGCTGTTCTCTCGGCCTCCTGCCCTCCCCACTTTGCCCCTCAGTGAAAGCCCCAAAGCCCCTCTTTTGCAACTGGCTAAACACCTCGTCTCGGGAGGAACTCCTGGTCATCAGCGTGCCACCTTTGAAACCAACAAAGTCTTCTGGACCTGTTGCAAGACTCCACCTTCCACGGGCAGTCACACTACTGAGGAGAAAAGTTTTAATAAAGAGCCAGGGATCCTCCCTTCCCCCAAATATCAGGAGTGTTCTGGAGTGACTTCTGGAGGGGGCACGCCTTTCTTCCAGAGGGGCATGGTGCATGTCAGCTATTCCTGGAATCCAGTTGTCGGCCACCTGCAGGACCCAAACCCGCTCTCTAGTACCCTGTGGCTAGCTGCAGCATGCAGGGCCCCCTCTTCCTGCCGAGGAGAGCCTTCACGGTCACCTTGGGTTCTGAGGAGCAGGCTTTTGCTCCTCCCTCTGAGATTTTGGGGTCTTATGTTTATGAGCCCATGCTGGCCTGCTACCAGCCGAAGGTGATGCAGAAGGCCCTGAGGAGTTGCGGTTTCAAGCCCCATGTGGCCACTTATTTGGCCCTCTGAGAAAGTCCATTCACCTGTCTCAACCGTAGTTTCCTTAAGTGAGAACTGAGTAGCCTGGTGTTGGTGGCGCACGCCTTTAATCCCAGCACTCAGGAAGCAGAGGCAAGTGGATCTCTGTGAGTTCGAGGCCAGCCTGGTCTACATAGTGAGTTCCAGGACAGCCAGGGCTACATAGTGAGACCTTATCTCATAAAACAAACAAAAAGAAACAAAAAACCCAAACAACTAAACAAACAAAAAACTGTGAGTAAAAAATTTCACGAGGCCCTTACAAGGATTAAAAAGCAGTGCAAGCGGGGTATGGTGGCAATGCCTAGAATCCCAGTACTCAGTGAGCAGAGGCAGGAAGACTGTCTCCAGTTCACAGTATGAAGCCAGTGTGGAATACACAGCAATGTCCTGTCTCAAAAACACAAGATGAAGAAACCAACCACAATGCATATAGAATCTTACTGACCCAGCAGGCTGCTGATGGAGAATCCTGCAGTTCAAGACTAGCCTGGACTACATGGTAAGATCCCATCTCAAAAACAGAAATATTAACCACAGAAGCTGTCTCAAGTTTACTTAAGCTGTAATCAGGCCAATTTGCCCAATAGTCCCCTACAATCCACCCCTTTTGAGGATTTCAGCATCTCAAACATGCTCCAGTTGTTCAGCTTGTATACATAATTTCAAGTTAGTAAAATTCAGTTAATTTGGAAAAAAAAACTAGACAAAAAAGATAGACATTGGACTGAGGGTATAACTCACATGGCCTGCTTCTATGTGACATCCTGGGTTCAATTCACCAAAAGGAGGCTCCAATCTGCTTACAATGTAGATCAAACACTATAGGGAAAAAGGGGGCATTCTTGGTAGATATATACCAGCAGGTACGCTTAACATGCCAGGAAGCTAGGCATGATGACATGCACTTTTAATCTCAGCACTTGAGAGGCTGAGGTAGGATTTCAAATTCAATACCATCCTGGAGCAAGACATAGTGATGCACACCTTTAATTACAGCACTTGGGAGGCAGAGGCAGGCAGATCTCTGTGAGGTCAGCTTGGCCTACTGAGTGAGTTCCAGGCTAGCCAGAGATACATAATGAGACCCTGTTCCTCCCCGCAACACACACACACACACACACACACACACACACACACACACACACACAAGACCAGCCTGGGCTATAGCAAGACAATCCAAAAACAGTAATAGAGGCAATATGCCACAAAAGATCAGCAGGAGAAAGAAGAGCACAGAATACATAAATGTATACAAACATTTTCAAAAGGGGGAAACTGCTCATGAAACAAACAGAAGGCTCACTGCTCCCTGGATCTCTGAAAGAGTGTGGGCAGTGTGGCTCTTCTAGCTGGAAGAACCTAGCAAGAACCAGTGGAGAGGTCAGTTGCCCCAGCCATCCCTTTACAGGGGCTGGGGCTCAGTCCAGGCTTGTTTTGAGATGGTCTTACTCTATAGTCCTTGCTGGCTTGGAACTCTCAACATAGACCAGGCTGGGCTCAAATTTGCCTGCCTCTGCCTCTCAAGAGCTGGGACTAGTGGTGCTCACCATCGTACCAGCAACAAGCCAGGCTTTTGGACTCCAGGCCAGCACCTGGGACCCTGCCCAGTTTGGGATTTCCATTTTCCTCCAAAGAACTTCCATTTCCCCAAACCCCCTCCAGAGGGCTCCCCATCACTTGCCCCAACCTTGAGCCGCACTTTCCCAGACTCACCAGCTCAGTTACAAGTGGTGACTTTCTGTTTATTGCTCAAAAACAAGAACTCAGAAGCAAATAAAGGGAGTGTGGGTGGGAAGGCACAGGGAAGGGATGGGGCTCGGTCCCACCTCTCCCGTCATCCCTCTCACCCTCAGAGGCCCAGCAGCAGTCGGCATCTGGGGTTAGGGAGCCTTCATGGCCATGGGAATAGTAGAGCTAGGGGACAGTTCTTGAGTGGGGTCCTGGGCTGGCAGGGGCCCCAGGAGTTGCAAGGGGCTGAGTTCCCTTCCCTGGGTCCAGAAGTCAGTAGGATGTGGGGACGGAAGGCCCCTTGTTTGGCAACTAAGAAGAGGCGGCTTTGGACGGCAGGATGCTGGTTTATTTACTGTAGGGTCTCCAGGGCCATCAAAGCCCCCTCATGGGATGGGAAGACTATTTACACAGCAGGGGGGGAGGGGAGCCAGAGACCAGGTCCTACGCTCCTCACTGCCCAGAATGGTGAGAGAGCGGGGAGATCCTGGGTCCTGCAGACTTAGACTTGGGGTTCAGATGGAAACTTCGTACTCCCGTGTATCCTGAAGACAGAAAGAGCAGATAAATTGGAGTGAGTTGGAGGTGAAGAGGCATCCACAGGAGGGGGAAGACATAATATTTGAGCTGAGTCTGGTGGTACCAACCTGTAATTCCAGCTGCTAGGGAGATAGAGGCAAGAAGATCACAATTCAAGGTGTGCCTGAGCTACAGAAGGTGCTCAGGATCAGACTGGACAATTTAAACCCTTTCTCAAAATCCACGAGGACTGGAGAGCTAGGCATGATGTTGCATACCTTTAATCCTAGCACGTGGAGGTAGAGGCAGAGTGTGTGTGTGTGTGTGTGGGTGGGTGGGTGTCCTGTGAATTCGAGGCTAGCCTGGTCTACATAGAGTTCCAGATCTGCCAGAGCTACATAGAGAGACCCTTGTCTCAGAATAAAAAAGAGGGTGAGACACTAGAGATGCCATCAGATGTCTTGAGCTCACCAACTGTACATGAGGCACTAAGTTTAATCTCCAGTACTACACACTCTCAGAAAGACCATGGTTTTTTTTGTTTTGTTTTTGGTTTTTGGTTTTTGGAGACAGGGTTTCTCTGTGTAGCTTTGCGCCTTTCCTGGAACTCACTCTGTAGACCAGGCTGGCCTCGAACTCACAAAGATCTGCCTGCCTCTGCCTCCCAAGTGCTGGGATTAAAGGCATGCACCACCACCGCCTGGCCGACCATGTTATTTTGAGACAGAGTCTCTCTATATAGTCTTGGCTGTCCTGGAACTCCCTAGGTAGCCTAGGCTGACCTCAAACTCAGAGATCTGCCTGCCTCTGCCTCTGGAGTGCTGGGATTAAAATCATTGAGCCACCACGACCAGCAAGACCTTGATATTTAAATTAATATAGAGGAGCTGGAGAGATGGCTCAGCAGTTGAACACTGACTGCTCTTCCAGAGGACCTGGGTTGGATTCCTAGCACCCACATGGTGGCTCACAACTGTCTGTAACTCTTGTTCCAGGGGATCTGATGCCCTCTCTGACTTCTGAGGGCACTGCATGTACTTGGTATACTGACATACAGGCAAGCAAACACCCATACACATAAAACAATTCTAATTTTGTTTCGGTTTTTTGTTTGTTTGGTTTTGTGTTTGTTTTTGTTTTTTCGAGACAGGTTTTCTCTGTGTGGTTTTGGTGCCTGTCCTGGATCTCTCTCTAGACCAGGCTGGCCTCAAACTCCCAGAGATCTGCCTGGCTCTGCCTCCCAAGTGCTGAGATTAAAGGCGTGCACCACCACTGCCCAGCTTGTTTTTTGTTTTTGTTTTTGTTTTTGAGACAGGGTTTCTCTGCATAGCTCTGTCTTGGAACTCACTCTGTAGACCAAGCTGGCTTCCAACTCATAGAGCTCCACCTGCCTGTGCCTCCTGAGTGCTGGGATTAAAGGTGTGTGCCACCACTACCTGGCTACAATTTAAAAAAAATTTATTTTTCTTTGTAGCCCTGGCAATCCTGGAACTCACTTTGTAGACTGGTAGACCAGGCTGGCCTCAAACTCACAGGGCTCCACCTGCCTCTGCTTCCCAAGTGCTTGGGATTAAAGGTGTGCATCACAGCCCAGCTAGAAAATATCTTTTAGTAAAGATTCCAAGTCAGGTGTGGTGGTGCACATTTTAATCCCAGCACCCAGGGCACAGAGGCAGGCAGATCTCTGAGAGTTCCAGGCCAGCCAGGGCTACATAGTGAGACCCTGTCTCAAAAGAGAGAGACAGAAAGAGAGAGAGAGGGAGAGGAAGTTTCCTGGGTTGAATCTAGCTAATATATGTTTGGTTTATCCTGTAATATCATAAGATGACAAAGATATGAATTTCTGAAATGTCTAGAACAACTTGAAGATTGGAGATGGGCCGAAATGCCCACTATGGATTTGAGCTGTACCTGTGGATGGACTCTGGTTCTCCAGTTAGCTACAGCCAGTCCTTACCATTCCCTACCGTCCACACACAGCCTTGCTTTGACCCTCATGACTTTTGTAGGAAACTGAGTTTGAAATTCCCAAAAGAGAGCACGGAGACTTTGGGAGAAGATTATGAAGTCCTGGGGGAGACTGAGAGACGTGGCATTCCAAGGGGAGGGGAGGGACTCACCCCAGCTTCATACAGTGGGTTGCTGAAGTCCGACTCCACAGTGATGGGACTGTAGGAGTGGGAACCAGAGAAGCCAAAGAGCGATTTTCCTTGCAGCCTGGGGAAGGGAGGGGACAGTGGACTTATCATGTGTGAGTCCTTGAACTCCCTTACCTGACTCCCATGCCAGGTATGGCACCTGCCCTGGCATCAGTCAAGGCATGGCACTCACTTGGTGTAGTATATGTAAACACCACTGCCCAGGACAATGACCAAGCCCAGGGGCAACAGGATGGCCAA